CACCTTCCTCTCCTTGGACTTGAGCAGCTGCCCGCGGTCCCCGTACACCGTCTCGGTCAGCGTCTCGCACAGCAGCAGCTGCCGCTGCCCCGAGCTCAGCAGCTGCGGGATGAGCCCCAGGTCTCACTCCAGAGGCCACCCCAGAGAGCCCGATCCCACCACGGAGATGGAATTCCCGCCATTGGTAAAAGATAAAGCTGCTCCGAAAGGTCCCCAAAGCTCCTGCAGAACTTCCAAGTTCTCCTCCGGAGCCTCCCAAAACCTTCTCCAGAACCTCCCAAAACCTTCTCCAGAACCACCCAAAAACCTTCTCCAGAACCTACAAAAAATCTTCTCCAGATCCTCCCAAAAACCTTCTCCAGAACCTGGAGACGCCCTGACACGGAGAGGGAGCTCCAAATCCCAATCCAGCAGATCCTTGGGGAGGAATTCCCAAATTCCACCCTCAAGGCTCGGTTTGGATCAAGATCCTCTGGGAGCAAAGAGGGATCCGGCTTCCCAAAATCCCCAGGGTGGACAGGGAGCCGCAAATCCCACCCGGCAGCTCCGGATCTGGCCAGGAATGGGGATGGGGAGGAGGAGGAGGACAAGCAGGACAAGGATGAAGATGAGCAGGAGGAGGAGGAGGAATGAGGATGAAGATGAGGATGAGGAGGAGGAGGAGAAGGTGGACAAGCAGGACAAGCAGGACAAGGAGGATAAGGCTGAGGATGGAGATGAGCAGGAGGAGGAAGAGGAGGAGGAAGACGAGGAGGAGGAGGAGGGAGGAGGAGGACAAGGAGGACAACAGGATAAGGCTGAGGATGAAGATGAGCAGGAGGAGGAAGAGGAGGAGGAGGAAGAGGAGGAGGAAGACAAGGAGGACGAGGAGGGAGGAGGAGGACAAGGAGGACAACAGGATAAGGCTGAGGATGAAGATGAGCAGGAGGATGAGGAGGAATGAGGATGAAGATGAGGATGAGGAGGAGGAGGAGCAGGACAAGGAGCAGGACAAGCAGGAGAAGGAGGAGAAGGAGGACAAGCAGGATAAGGATGAAGATGAGCAGGAGGATGAGGAGAAAGAGGAAGAAGAAGAGGATGAAGAGGATGAGAGGACAAAGAGGACGAGGAAGAGAAACAGAAGGAGGTTGAAGATGAGGAGAACAAGGAGGATGAGGACAATAAGGCCAAGCACAAAGCTGAGGACAAGGCTGAGGACAAAGACGAGCGGGAGGATGAAGATGAGGATGACGAGGAGCCCCCACCTTGTTGAGGCTGCTGCGGTCACTGATGCTCTTACTGAGCTGCTGCATCTCGGCCACCTGGTCAGCCAAGCGCTTCTGCTCGTTGAGCTTCTCGGCCAGCGTCTCCAGCTCGGTCAGCGCCAGCTGCAGCGCCAGCCGGTCGGCGTGGCCGCGCGGCGTGTTCTTCAGCATGTCCTGGCACATGGAAACACCGGGAATGGCCGCGGTCCCCAGGGACCAGCGACCTCCGGAGCCTCCACAGCTCAGATTTGGGGGATGGTCCTTGGGTGGATCCAAAAATCCAAGCAGGGTGTTCACCCCGAAGTGCGGCGTTGTTCTGCAGCTCCCCAAAAAGGTGCTTCTCCAGAAGCTCCCCAAAAACCTTCTGCAGAACCTACCAAAAACCTTCGCCAAAACATCCCCAAAACCTTCTCCAGAAGCTCACAAAAACCTTCTCCAGAACCTCCCTAAACCTTCTCCAGAACCTCCCAAAAACCTTCTCCAGAACCTCCCAGAACCTTCTCCAAAAGCTCCCAAAAACCTTCTCCAGAACCTCCCCAAAACCTTCTCCAGAACCTCCCTTCCCAGGAGGTTCTTCTGCAGGAGAAGGATGGACTGAGGGAATTGGAAGCGCTTTGGGCACCTCCAAAACCAAAGCTTGGAAGGTGGCCCTTGGGATGGATCCAAAAATCCAACCAAAAAATAAAAGTCTGGCCCTGTCCCACAGCGTTCATAAAGGTTCTTCTCCAGAACCTTCTCCAAAACCACCTCCAGGAGCTCCTCAAGGTTCTCCAGGAGTCCTCCAGGAGCTCCTCAAGGTTCTCCAGGAGCTCCTCAAGGTTCTCCAGGAGCTCCTCAAGGTTCTTCAGGAGCTCCTCAAGGTCCTCCAGGATCTCTCCCTCCTCACCTGCAGGAGGAGGATGAACTGAGGGAACCTCTGGATGGGTTTCACCATCAGCCCGTAGAGCGTGACGCGGTCGGCGCTGGCCATCTGCCGCTTCTGCCGGGGAGGAACGCCGGAAAAACCGGGATTGGGGGAAATTCCATAAAAAACGGGATTGGGGGAAAATCCCATAAAAACTGGGATTGGGGGAAATGCCAGGAAAACGGGATTGGGGGAAATAAAATAAAAACAGGGATTTTTGGGGAAATTAAAAACTGGGATTGGGGAAATGGCATAAAAGTGGGATTTGGGGGAAATGCCAGGAAAAACTGGGATTTTGGGGGAAAAGCCATAAAAACTGGGAATGGGAGAAGCCATAAAAAAAGGGATTTGGGGAAATGCCATAAAAACAGGGATTTGGGAAAATAAAAACAGAGATTTGGGGGAAATGCCATAAAAACCGGGATTTGGGAGAAATGCCATAAAAACTACGATTTTGGGGAAATGCCAGAAAAATGGGATTTTGGGAAATGCCATAAAATCCGGGATTTTGGGGAGAAGCTGACCTTGAGGAAGTCCAGGAAGGCGGGTTTGGTCAGACACGCCTTCTTGATGAGGGCCATGGCCGTGGTGAAGTTGTTGACGTAGTCGCTGTAGACATCCAGCACCATGGACTTGGAGAACTGGGAGAGAGCGGGAATGAGGTGGGAATTCCCGAAAAAAACCGGGATGGGCCAAGCGTGGGGGCTGAGGGTGTCCCGGCTGGGGGTTCCTTTGCTCCACCCGTCCCTGATGGGATCAATCTGGGGGGGGATTCCCGGGTTTTTATGGGATCCAAGGGGATTTTTGGGTGATTCCTCGTGGATGAAATCCCAAAGGGATTTTGGGTGCGATTCCCGGTTTTTTATGGGATCCAAAGGGATTTTTGGAGTGATTCCTCAGGGATGAGATCCCAAAAGGGATTTTCCCTGGTTTTTTATGGGATGATCCCAAGGGGATTTTGGGTGCGATTCCCGGTTTTTTTATGGGATCCAAGGGAGATGTTGGGGGCTATTCCTGGTTTCCGACGCGACCCCAAGGGATTTTGGCGGGGGCTATTCCTGGCTTTTTCTGGGATCCCAGCGGGATTTGGGGCTCTTCCCGGTTTTCCCCGCACCGAGGCCACGAAGAGGTCTCCGATCTTCTCGTTGGAATCCCACTCGGAGACGCGGGAGGCCAGGGCGATCTGGAACATGGAGTGGCACTGCAGGATCTCCTTCAGCCGGAAAAACACCACCTGGCACTTGCGGGCGCTCAGCACCTTGGGCTCCATCTCCAGCAGCGGGTTCCGGTAATCCTGCGGGAATTCCGGCGCTGGGATCCTGGGATGGGCGCCAGGGGGGTGCCCAATCCCGGGAAAACGGGGTCCCCCCCACCTGCAGGATGCGCTTCAGGGAATCGACGTAGCTGCGCTCGCTCTGCACGATGGAGCCCAGGATGTGCCGCCGGAGCACCTGCGGGACACGAGAATGTCCAGGATCCCAAAATCCCAAATCCCAGGATCGAGGTAATGCAGGCACAGCCCCGATCCCACAAATCCCAAATCCCAGGATCGAGGTAATGCAGGCACAGCCCCGATCCCACAAATCCCAAATTCCAGGATCAGGGAAATGCAGGCAGAGCCCTGATCCCTCAAATCCCAAATCCCGGGATCAGGGAAATGCAGGCCCAGCCTGTGGGGCCCGGCCGTGATCCTCCAACCCTAAATCCCAGGAAAAGGGAAGCAGCCCCAGCCTGGCGGAAGTGCTGACTCAGCAGCACCGGTTCTGCTGACTCGGCGTTTCCCCGCTGCTCAACCGCAGAGCCCAGGGGAGGCCGTGACACCCCCAGGTCCCGGGAAAGCCCCGATCCCAAATCCCGGGAAATCCTTGATCCCAGATGCCGGGAAAGCCCCAGTCCCAGATCCCAGGAAAGCCCCGATCTCAATCCTGGGAAAGCCACGATCCCAAATCCTAAGAAAGCCCAGATCCCAGGAAATCCCATCCCAAAGATCCAAATCCCAATCCCAATCCCAATCCCGATCCCTATCCCGATCCCAGACCTGCTGTGGGCTCAGCCCCTCGGGTGCGGGGCCCAGCTCGGGCGGGGGATGTTTCATGTCGGACACGGTGACCTCCAGGAACCCGGAATCCTCCTCCTCCGAGTCCCCTGGGCAGGGAAACACCAGAAACCCCCAAATGAACCTTTTTTCCCGCTTTTCCCGCTTTTCCCGGGATCTCGTGTCCTTCCAGAACAATCACCGGGTACCGAGATGAGCCGGGCAGGAGCGGGACAGGGATGGGACAGGGATGGGACAGGGATGGGACAGGGATGGGACAGGGAAGGTCCCCATCCCAAAAATCTGCCCGGGAACAGCGCCTCGCCCTCAGTCCAAGCCAGCGGGAAACGGGAAAAGAGCCGGGAAAAGGAGCTGGAAGCGCAGGAAAAGCGGGAAGCGCCGGAGCGGGCAGCCCTTACCCGAGGCCGAAGCAGCTGAGGAGGAGGAGGGCGAGCGAGCCAAGGAAAGCTCGGGATGAGCCAAGGAAAGCTTGGGATGAGCCAAGGAAAGCTCGGGACGGGAGCGCGGCCGCCGCCTCCACATGGCCCCATCCCGGGCCAGAAATCCCGGGAATCGGAGGGGAGGGAAGGGCTGGGGGCAGGAAGGAAGGGAAGGGCTGCGGGGACCTCTTTCCTTCCCTAATTTCGGCTCCTCCTCCTGGGGATGCTCTCCCGGGATTGCCGCGCCCCAAAGCCGCGCTGGCCGTGCGGGAATGGCGGGATGGATCCCTGGGAATGCTCTGGGAATGGCGGGAACACACAGCCAAACCCTAGGAATGCTCTGGGAATGGCGGGAATACGAAACCGATCCCATGGGAACGCTCTGGGAATGGTGGGAGCACAGAGCCAATCCCTGGGAATGCTCTGGGAATGCTGGGAATACGCAGCCAATATCCAGGAATACTCTGGGAACAGCGGGAACACACAGCCAATCCCATGGGAAGCTGCAGGAACACCAGGAGCATGAAGCCGATCCCATGGGAACGCTCTGGGAATGGCGGGAACACACAGCCAATCCCCAGGAATGCTCTGGGAATGGTGGGAGCACACAGCCAAACCCCGGGAACGCTCTGGGAATGGCGGGAACACACGCAGCCGATCCCACGGGAAGCTCCAGGCACTGGCGATCCGGCGGGATCCATCCTACCTCCCCCGGATCCTACCTCCCCTCGGCTGCTCCAGGGAAACCCGGGAGCTCCGGCGGGAGCGCGGCGGCTTCTCCGCCTCGGCCGCGCTCCTCCTGCGCTCCCCATCCCCTGCGGGACAGGGAAAGCCCCGGGAATTGGGAATTCCGAGGGAAACCCGGAGGGAAACATCCAAGGGATCCAAGGGATCCAAGGACACCCCCGCGTGCCGGCGGGGAGTCACCGCCGCATCCCAAAAACGCAGGGAGCGAGTGGGAGTTTGCAGGGAACGGCCAAAGGAAAGCTTCAAATGCGGGGAAAAATCCCGGAAAAGTGGGAAAGGTGAGTGGGATCAGGTTTCCCCAAAAACCGCCCTCGCCAAGGGCTGCGCTGGGCTGCGGGGTTTGGTTTTCCCGCTCCCCGTTCCCTACAGGAGAGGGAAGGGTCAGGAAAACCCTCTGGGAATGGGGAATTCAGGGAAAAAATCTGGAGGGAAAAATCGGGGGGAAACCGCCTGGGAATTGGGAATTTAGGGAAAAAATCCTGATGGGAAAAATCCAAGGGAAACCCCCTGAGAATTTAGGGAAAAAATCCGGAGGGAAAAATCTGACGGAAACCGCCTGGGAATTGGAAATTTAAAGAAAAAATCTGGAGGGAAAAATCCAAGGGAAACCACCTGGGAATTGGGAATTCAGGGAAAAAATCCGGAGGGAGAAGTCTGAGGGAAACCCCTTGGGAATTGGGAATTTAGGGAAAGAAATCCTGCCGGGAAGGAATCCCGAGGAGGAAGCTGAGGCCTCATCCCGAAAGGACGAAAGGAGGGAGGCGGAGCTGGGCGCAGAGCCCCGGGAAAGCTCCAAACCCTTGGAATGAGGGAGGGAAGCGGGGCGGGCGATTCCCGGGGGATGAGATTCCCGAGGATTCCTGAGGATTCCCGAGGATTCCCGGGGCTCACCTGGGCCGTCGCGGCGCTGCAGGAAGGTGACCCGGCGCAGCACGGCCATGCGCGTCCGCTCCAGCCCGTCCCTGGTGCCGCTGCGCGCCGCCCGCATCAGCTGCGACACCTGGGAACCGGATCGGGGCTGGGATCACCGGGATCGGGGCTGGGATCACCAGGATCGGGGCTGGGATCACCGGGATCGGGATCACCGGGATCGGGGCTGGGATCACCGGGATCAGGGATGGGATCATCGGGATCAGGGATGGGATCAGTGCAGGAATTGGGGATGGGATCATTGGGATCGGGGCTGGGATCACTGGGATCGGGGCTGGGATCACCGGGATCGGGATCACCGGGATCGGGGCTGGGATCACCAGGATCGGGGCTGGGATCACCGGGATCAGGGACGGGATCATCGGGATCAGGGCTGGGATCAGTGCGGGAATCGGGGATGGGATTATTGGGATCGAGGATGGGATCACCGGGGTCAGGGATGGGATCACCAGGATCGGGGCTGGGATCATCAGGATCGGGGATGGGATCATCGGGATCGGGGATGGGATCACCGGGATCAGGGATGGGATCACCAGGATCGCGGATCGCGGCTGGGATCATTGGGATCGGGGATGTGATCAGCACTGGAATCGAGGATGGGATCAGAGCAGGGATCAGTGAGATCAGCACCGGGATCAGAGCAGGATCAGGGCTGGGATCACGGGGATCAGGGCTGGGATCAGAGCGGGGATCAGTGGGATCAGCACCGGGATCAGTGCTGGGATCACCGGGATCAGCACCAGGATCAGCACAGGGAGCAGCGCAGGGATCAGCGTGGGGATCAGCAGGATCAGCGCAGGGATCAGTGCTGGGATCACCAGGATCAGCACCGGGATCACCGGGATCAGCAGGATCCCAGGGATCACTGGGATCTCAGGGATCAGCAGGATCTGAGCGCAGGGATCAGCACAGGGATCACCGGGATCCGCACCAGGATTACAGGGATCCCCAGGATCACAGGGATCAGCTGGACCATCGGGATCACAGGGATCACTGGGACCACCACTGGAGCCACAGGGATCCCCAGGATCACAGGGATCACGGGGATCCCAGGGATAACAAGGATAACTGGGATCTCAGGGATCATCACGGGGATCACAGGGATCGGGAAGCTCCAGGCGGCCCCTCAGGATCATCCATGGAGCGCCATTCCCTGTTCTCCCACGCAGCCGGGAGCAGCAGCACGTGGCCAGGGCTCCGGGATCCCTCCGGATCCCTCCAGATCCCTCCGGATCCCTCTGGATGCAGCAGCTCAGCGGGGCCAGGAAGGGAGGCGGGATCGGAGGAGTGGGGCAGGAAAAGGGGGATTGGCCTTTCACTCCCCAAATCCCAGAGCTTCACCCCAAATCCCGCTGCTTTACCCCATGGAATACCGGGATGGGATGGGATGGGCTCTGCAATTCCACAATTCCCAAAATTCTCCTTCCTTCCCTCCTGAATTCCCTCCTGAATTCCTGAATTCCTTCTTTTGTGAATTCCTTCCTGAATTCCTTCCTGAATTCCTGAACTTCTTCCTGAATTGCTGAATTCCTTCCTTTGTGAATTCCTTCCCGAAGTCTTGAATTCCTTCATGAATTTCTTCCTAAATTCTTGAAGTCCTTCCTGAATTCCCAGATTCCTTCCGGAACTCCTCCCCGAATTACTTCTTCCCCCCCCCACCCCGAACTCCTGAATTCTTGAATTCCTTCCTGAATTCCTTCCTGAATTCCTTCCTGAATTCCTGAATTCCTTCCTGAATTCCTTCCTGAATTCCTGAATTCCTTCCTGAATTCCTTCCTGAATTCTTGAATTCCTTCCTGAATTCCTGAATTCCTTCCTGAATTCCTTCCCGAATTCCTGAATTCCTTCCTGAATTCCTTCCTGAATTCCTTCCTGAATTTCTTCCTAAATTCTTGAACTCCTGAATCCCCTCCCGAATTCCTTCCCGAATCCCTGAATCCCTTCCTTCCTGATCCCCGCAATCCCCGAATTCCGACGGCGGCGCCTCGGCAGCTCCAGGCTGATCTTTCGGGAATGTTGGGAATTTCGGGACGGGAGCGGTACCTTCCAATCGGATTTGTGCTTCAGCTCCTGCATTTCCTTCCCCCCAAGGCTCCGGGCCAGGAGCTCCCGCTTAGTCCTGGCGCATTTTTCCTTGAGTTTATGGAAGTCGGGAGAGAGCTGAGCCCAAAGCAAAGCGGGAGAGCGGAGCAGAGATCCCGGGAAGCAGCAAATGCAAAAAAACAGGAGAGATCATCCCAAAGGAGCAGGGAACAGCGGCGGCAGCCCGGAATTCCGGCCGGGAGCAGGCAGGGAGAGCAGGGACAGCAGGGAACAGGAGAAATCATCCCAAAAATCCCGGAATTCCGGCCGGGAGCAGGCAGGGAGCGCAGGGACAGCAGGGAACAGGAGAAATCATCCCGAAAATCCCGGAATTCCGGCCAGAAGCAGGCAGGGAGTGCAGGGACAGCAGGGAAAGGTTCGGGAACAGGAGAAATCATCCCAAAAATTCCAGCTGGGATGCAGCGGGAAGTGCAGCAGGGAAAGGCAGGGAGAGGATCCAGCAGGGGGAAAATTCAAAGGGAAGGAGGAAAAGAGAAAGAGAATTCCAGGAAAAACGCGGCAGCATCTGCAGGATGCTCCGGTGCCTCCACGCAGGGGAATCCCGGGAAAAGCCGGGATGAGGATTCCCAAGGGACACCTTGGGCTGGAGGGACGAAGATTCCAAAGGGATGGGAATTCCCGGGATGGACATCCTGGGCTGGAGAGGTGGGAATTCCCAGGGAAGGATGAGGATTCCAGAGGGTTGGGAATTCCCGGGACGGATACCTCAGGCTGGAGGGATCAGGATTCCAAGGGAGAGACAAACATTCCAAAGGGATGGGAATTCCCGGGATGGGTACCTCGGGCTGGAGAGGTGGGAATTCCCAGGGAAGGATGAGGATTCCCGAGGGTTGGGAATTCCCGGGATGGGTACCTTGGGCTGGAAGGCCGCTCGGAGCTTGGCGGGCTCGGCATCCCGCCGCGATTCCGGCCGGGATTCCTCCCCGGACTCGCCCTCGCTGTAGCTCTCGAACTCGCTGGAGCTCCAGGCCAGCTCCGGGCCCAGGCGCGGCCCCGCGGCCGGGAGCAGCCCCGCGCCTGCATTCCCGGGAATCCCACTCAGTTCCCGCTCAATTCCTGCTCAATTCCCGCGCCTGCATTCCCGGGAATCCCGCTTAATTCCCGCTCAATTCCCACTCAATTCCCGTGTCTGCATTCCCGGGAATCCCGCTCAATTCCCACTCAATTCCCGCGCCTGCATTCCCGGGAATCCCACTTAATTCCCGCTTAATTCCTGGTCAATTCCTGCTCAGTTCCCAGGAATCCCACTCAATTCCCTCTGAATTCCCATGCCTGCATTCCCAGGAAATCCTGCTCAATTCCTGCTCAATTCCTGGTGAATTCCCGCTCAATTCCCGTGTCTGCATTCCCGGGAATCCCGCTCAGTTCCTGCTCAATTCCCGCTCAATTCCCACACAATTCCCGCTTTTCTTCCCCAAGCCGTGGGAATTCTGGGGTTTGATTGTTCGGAGGGGAGCCGGGAGCACGCCGGGATGGATCCAGCAAGGATTTGTCTGGGGAGGGCTCCACCCCTCCCAGATCCCGGGAATTCCCCGCTTATTCCCATCCACAGCCCCCTGGAGGTTGGGATCCTCCTTCTGGATGGAAAAATGGGATGGGGAGCCCTGGAAAAGCGGGAAGCGGCGCTTCCGTACCGTCCTGCTCCGCATCCAGGCCCTCGCAGGGAACGTCGTCGTAGATGACCTCGTCCTCCACCTCCGGGAAGGAGAAACGCTCCCCTGGAAAAGCCCGGGATTGGGGATCATCGGGATCATCGGGATCATCGGGATCATCGGGATCATCGGGATCGGGATTGGGATCAGCAGCCTGGGATCCCACCGGGATGCAGGAACACCCCCAAGCCCACCGTGGGTTATCCCGGGGTTATTCCAAGGTTATCCCAAGGTTATTCCAGGGTTATTCCAGGGTTATCCCAAGATTATTCCAAGGATATCCAAGGGTTATCCAGGGGTTATCCCAAAGTTATCCCAGGGTTATCCAGGGGTTATCCAGGGGTTATCCCAAGGTTATCCAGGGGTTATCCAGGGGTTATCCCAAGGTTATCCAGGGGTTATCCCAGGGTTATCCCAAGGTTATCCAGGGGTTATCCAGGGGTTATCCAGGGGTTATCCCAAGGTTACCCCGAGGTTATCCAGAGGTTATCCAGGGTTATTCCATGGGTTATTCCAGGGTTATCCCAGGGTTATCCAGGGGTTATCCCAAGGTTATCTCAGGGTTATCCAGAGGTTATCCAGGGGTTATTCCAGGGTTATCCCAGGGGTTATTCCAGCTTTTCCCCACCTCGGCAGATGCTCTCCCTCTTCCAGGTGCGGTTCCGGATCTGGGAATCTCCTCCGGCCTCGCCGTTGCTCACCTGGGCCGGGATCCTGCGGGAGCGGTGTCAGGCAGCATTCCAGGGAAAAATCCCTCGGGATCGGGGCAAATCCCTCGGGATTGGGCGCTCCCAAAGCTCCCAGCCCCCCGTCACCCCCATTCCCACGGCAGGAACAAAATCAGGAATTCCCTCCCCAGCTGCTCCTCCCGGGATTTGGAGGATCCCAGGTTTTAGGGTCATCCCAGCTCTTTAGGGATGATGGAAAAGATCCCAAAATCCCAGAGTTTTCCCGCCTGGAGCTCCTTGGAATGGCGAGAAGTTGGGGGAAACTGAGAATTCCACCACAAACTTCCTGAAATCCCCCAAAATCCCAGGAAACTCCATGGAAGTCTCAGGAAACCCCCTGAAATCCCACCAGAACCCCCCAAAATTCCATGGAAATCCCACTAAACTCCTCAAAACCCCAGCAGAACCCCCAAACTCCCTGGACTTCCCAGGAAATGCCCCAAATCCCACTAAAACCCCCGGAATTCCCAGGAAATTCCCCAAATCCCACTCACCCTTCCTGGGTCTCCATCCCCAGCCCGTCTGCAGGGAAGGAAAAGCAAAGAGAATCGGTGTCGGCACCCCTGGGATACACCGGGAATACCGGGAATTCCACACTGGGAATACCGGGAATTCCACACCGGGAATACCGGGAATTCCACACCGGGAACCAGCAGGAATTCCACACTGGGAATACTGGGAATTCCACACTGGGAATACTGGGAATTCCACACCGGGAACCAGCAGGAATTCCACACTGGGAATACCGGGAATTCCACACTGGGAATACAGAGAATTCCACGCCGGGAACCAGCAGGAATTCCACGCTGGGAATACTGGGAATTCCACACCGGGAATACCGGGAATTCCTCGCCGGGAATACTGGGAATTCCACGCCGGGAATACCGGGAATTCCACGCTGGGAATACTGCGAATTCCATGCTGGGAATACAGGGAATTCCACACCGGGAATACCGGGAATTCCACACAGGGAATACCGGGAATTCCACGCCGGGAATACTGGGAATTCCACACCGGGAATACCGGGAATTCCACGCTGGGAATACTGGGAATTCCACGCCGGGAATACCGGGAATTCCACGCTGGGAATACAGGGAATTCCACACCGGGAACCAGCAGGAATTCCACACTGGGAATACTGGGAATTCCACACTGGGAATACTGGGAATTCCACACCGGGAACCAGCAGGAATTCCACACTGGGAATACTGAGAATTCCACGCTGGGAATACTGGGAATTCCACGCCGGGAATACCGGGAATTCCACGCTGGGAATACAGGGAATTCCACACCGGGAATATCGGGAATTCCTCGCCGGGAATACTGCGAATTCCACGCTGGGAATACCGAGAATTTCACACCGGGAATATCGGGAATTCCACNTTTTATGGGATCCAAGGGAGATGTTGGGGGCTATTCCTGGTTTCCGACGCGACCCCAAGGGATTTTGGCGGGGGCTATTCCTGGCTTTTTCTGGGATCCCAGCGGGATTTGGGGCTCTTCCCGGTTTTCCCCGCACCGAGGCCACGAAGAGGTCTCCGATCTTCTCGTTGGAATCCCACTCGGAGACGCGGGAGGCCAGGGCGATCTGGAACATGGAGTGGCACTGCAGGATCTCCTTCAGCCGGAAAAACACCACCTGGCACTTGCGGGCGCTCAGCACCTTGGGCTCCATCTCCAGCAGCGGGTTCCGGTAATCCTGCGGGAATTCCGGCGCTGGGATCCTGGGATGGGCGCCAGGGGGGTGCCCAATCCCGGGAAAACGGGGTCCCCCCCACCTGCAGGATGCGCTTCAGGGAATCGACGTAGCTGCGCTCGCTCTGCACGATGGAGCCCAGGATGTGCCGCCGGAGCACCTGCGGGACACGAGAATGTCCAGGATCCCAAAATCCCAAATCCCAGGATCGAGGTAATGCAGGCACAGCCCCGATCCCACAAATCCCAAATCCCAGGATCGAGGTAATGCAGGCACAGCCCCGATCCCACAAATCCCAAATTCCAGGATCAGGGAAATGCAGGCAGAGCCCTGATCCCTCAAATCCCAAATTCCAGGGTCTGGGAAATGCAGGCCCAGCCTGTGGGGCCCGGCCGTGATCCTCCAACCCTAAATCCCAGGAAAAGGGAAGCAGCCCCAGCCTGGCGGAAGTGCTGACTCAGCAGCACCGGTTCTGCTGACTCGGCGTTTCCCCGCTGCTCAACCGCAGAGCCCAGGGGAGGCCGTGACACCCCCAGGTCCCGGGAAAGCCCCGATCCCAAATCCCGGGAAATCCTTGATCCCAGATGCCGGGAAAGCCCCAGTCCCAGATCCCAGGAAAGCCCCGATCTCAATCCTGGGAAAGCCACGATCCCAAATCCTAAGAAAGCCCAGATCCCAGGAAATCCCATCCCAAAGATCCAAATCCCAATCCCAATCCCAATCCCGATCCCTATCCCGATCCCAGACCTGCTGTGGGCTCAGCCCCTCGGGTGCGGGGCCCAGCTCGGGCGGGGGATGTTTCATGTCGGACACGGTGACCTCCAGGAACCCGGAATCCTCCTCCTCCGAGTCCCCTGGGCAGGGAAACACCAGAAACCCCCAAATGAACCTTTCTTCCTGCTTTTCCCGCTTTTCCCGGGATCTCGTGTCCTTCCAGAGCGATCACCGGGTACCGAGATGAGCCGGGCAGGAGCGGGACAGGGATGGGACAGGGATGGGACAGGGATGGGACAGGGAAGGTCCCCATCCCAAAAATCTGCCTG